AAAAATCTGAATCTAATCATTAATCTTCTAGGAATAGAATTTTGGGGAATTTGATATTTTAAAAAATCCATGTGATAATAAAGGACAATGACGTTATTGCATGACCTCGAAAGTTCAAGAGTAAGTTTGTTAATATTTATGACCACGAGAACCAGATTACATTAAGTCATTTACCCTTTCAGCATTTCGTCGAATTCTGTTTGCACCCTCTTGTTTGGCATTTTCTTCAATTTCTTTTAAACTGTTAAGGAAGTGAACAGTTGGTTAGGTTATGGCTCAATCATATTTTCAGTGTCCAGTCCTGTGCTAAACGCTTTCATATTCTCTGCCATAACTTGTTGAAACTGATTCACTTGCAAGAGGCTACCATTTCCCTGTCTTCAATGTCTGAGCCAGAAAAATTGCCAAAGATAAGGAAGGGTGTGAAACTGACTCACTGACAGTCAATTAGGAGCTTTGTTCTGTAAAACTGGAAGGGTGTGACACCTTGATTGACAAACAGAAGATTGTCAGGAAAATTCCCCTTAACAGGCAGAACCAAGAGCTTTAGAACAATGCTGTGACAAGGGTGAAACCCAACTGAGCATTTGAGGCATTGCCATCCACACCCGTAAGTATAACTCTGTATACCTTGTAAAGCACTTGTTTGCTTTCATGTGAAAGCATGGTTGCTAATGAAAGCTACATCAGAATTGGGCTTCTAAGCCTTCTACATCTATTGTCTGATGACAGTCTCATCCTGCAGACAGGCCTGGCTATCTCACTTCTACAGAAGGAGCAACCAGAAGTTAAAGAAATCAAATTCTCCTTTTTCAGCTAGTGCATGAAAGGAAACAAAACCACGGGATCAGGGCAGGTTGGAACACTGAAAACACATGCCTCCTAGATAGGAAAGTGGAAATCAGGTTGATTTCCTGTCTGGAAACCAGTTTTAACCACTCTTTTATGAACTTGATAGGACATGCTCTTGAATTCTACGATGGCTAACTATAATTTTCAAAGGCACGTGTGAAGTTTATTAATCTGTTAAATCTCTGTCCTGATTTGAAAGATCCTGTGATGTAAATATAGCACTTTGAGGCTTGCTGACACATGGATCAGAGAGGCTATATCTTGTTTAACAACAGGAATGTGAAAGACTAATTGGATCTCATTCACTTCTGGGTTTTCAGTGCCCACAGCAGTGCCAGGCACTCAGAGAAGGATTAACTCAATAGTTCTTCCCTTTCAGCATGTTTCACCTTTTACACTGAATTTAGACACATGACATTATTATTATCATTATTATTATTATTTTAATTAGACTTTCCTTATTCAGTAAGGGTCTCTACGCATGCTCAAACAAAGCAATGCACATCAAACGACGGATGTAGATAATTCCACATGAAAGTGCTTTCTAAATTTTAAAATATCGTGCGTTATAAAACACTTTGTGTCTTGAAGTCATTGCAATTTAAAAAAATTGAATCTCAAATTTAATAACTAACACGACCACCTTATCCTCCCCTTTTAAGAAACTTCAGTAGATGATCTGAAGAAACAGAATAGCCTTTCTGGGAGAAAGGGCTATTTCACATTATAAAGACAAAGGATCGTGTGCTTCATGAAAAGGACTTTATCTCCTTGTGGAATGATCCGGAACAACAACCAAGTGCACCCTCACTGGGTCCACCTGGGGATGACAATACTCACAACAACTCAGCACACATCGCACACTTATTGCCATGTGTCTTCCCATCAGGACCAAGAACAGGATCATTTTCCCGTGTGCATGCAAGTCTTCCATTATTGACATAGGGCCGAAAAGCACTGCATACATCCTGAAGGACAGAGAAAGGAACTTGGCATTCACATGCTAACTGTCAGGCTTACAACACTGTTGTCAGAAGTTTTATAGAACTTAGTGCCTCTG